TAATACATACACGTACACATGCGCACTCACACACGCACCAGCTCATACAGGCAGACAGGGAAATTAAATACGCCCACTGATTAATCCAGGACAGAGTGGATCGTCAGTGTTGTTCCTTGGCCTTTTGTCTCTTAATTAATGGAGGATCGTAAAGCATGAAGCACGTCAAGCTGCCTACCCTCGAGCTGAATGCACCTTTTACAAAATTGTCTTTGTCACCTACAGGCCCTGTTCACAGCAGACATTTTGACTTGCCACAGTAGGAAAAGCACAGGTGTAAAATATAAAACGAACGATGGTTGTATTGAAATTAACAATGTTATCACGAAGACCTGAGCTTCTCAGTTCACAATGATGGTTATAGGAGCATGTTCACAAATTTCAGAAACACCATTAGTAAAATTTTGTACAGATTATAAATGAACCAGTGTTAAAATTGAATTATTAAAGTATTGTTCTCATTGTTGTAGTTCAATTATTTATTCAATTTTAGACGTTTGTATTTCATAATGACCTTAATGAATCCAAGTTATTTCAAAATGATTCTTTGGTGATTTTTATTTTGTCACTTTTATGTGAGTGATACTGTTCCTATCAAACAACTTCTCCCTTTATTAGTAAGCTTAACACTTGCTCCCAAATTTAGCCTTTAGCTCCTGTTAGCTAGAACAACGACGTCTAACTAATTCTACGGACAAACTACCATTGATATAAATAAACATGGTGCAAACACTAGCTACTTGCTGCAGGCATCTTATGAGATATATGTGTAGATCCACCTTGTGGTTTCATAGAAAGATAAATATTCACATTCAATAAGTGATTACAAACCTCTGAACCCCATTGTATTTACTTTACTCCACTACATCTATCTGACAGATACTCACCTTCTAGAATACACTAACATGATCAGCTAACAAAGTACTGTTTATTGATTCATCAACATTTCTGTTATAATAAGACCAAAAACATCTACTTCAAACTTTTGTGGTTAAATGTTACATGCAGGACTGGTGCCTGTGACGGTGTATTTTTATACTCAAACTGAATACTTGTTCCACCACTGTAACTAATTGGTATATTTGACTTGACTGTTCAAATATCTAAAATCCTCTGTTTGAAAATATTAAGATATTATTTCAGCTTCTAAAAAAACACAGAAACTAGACGACATCTTTATGAGCCTTAGAATCCAGTTTATTGAAGTTTTCTTCATAATCTTACAAATGTGCAGAAAACCTGTCTGTGTCTTTATGTATGTATATATTTGTGCATGCACATATGTAATTCGACTATTTCAAGAACCATTTCTCTGATCTACTTAAGGCTTTGCAAATGTGTTGCTGGGAGCCCGAGGGAGTGCAGTAGTTGGTGCAATATGGGCCCATGACGCGTGAAATATTGATACATTTTGGATAAACAGAAAAACAGCACTCCCTAGCAAATGGTGCTGGACTCTTGTGCATACTTGATGTCATCAATCACGACTATGGCAGCACTTGGTCCAAAACAGTAAATAAGGGTCCAATCATAATTCCTTTGGCGAACACCCTGTAGCTAAAGAGCTTTCAGCCCGGATCACCTAAACTGTGGGGGTATAAGACAGAGACCCATCAATGAGGTTCTCTGTAAGCTCTTTGCATTGGAAATGTCACAGCATCATACTGTATATCAGGATTACCAGCATAGAAAACGTGCTTCTGTTAGTGGTACACAGCAATTTTCTGAATGTTTCGTAATTGGTCTCACGACTATTTCTGCATTGCTGATGTTAAGGTAACTTTGAAATGGGTTAAAAAGGAAATACTTCAATCCAGGTTGTAAATGGGTTCAGAACCTACAAGTATGAAGAAATGAACAAATAATTGCAGGCATAAAATAACTAAAAAGCCTCATTCTCTCAAGTCCAATTAAGTGAAACTGTACACTGTGTTAATGCCAAACTCTGACAACAAAATGTGAGGTTGCGAGGCTCCTACTGTTTTCATCTGACAAAGCCTGAGTAAAAACATTACATGTCCCTTTAAATCCAGCAGAGCAACTGAGCGCTCACTTTAGAAGTCGCATCAACCTGCAGCTCGGTGTGTGAATATGCGCCGTGCTAACTGGAGCATCTAGGTCACCCAAATTTTCAAGCGGAAGATGTTTCCTTCAGGGCAGAAATTAGTGGGGTGAAACATTCGCTGTGTTGGTTTTCAAGACATCAGGCAGACTCCACCACAAGATAGACCTGTTTTTTTCAAAAGCTTCCATGCGGAGTGCAAATGAGAATAAGGACACTGTAAGTAAAGAAAGATGTCTCTCTCAAGGCCTATATGAGGACACCACCCTCACTGATGACACAAAGGACATTTTCGCTTCTACCTGAATTATTTTTAAGCTAGAATTTACCAAGTGCCAGTTATCAAATATCCCAAAATACTAAAAACCGTTACTGGGCAGACAAAACTCAATATAATCTGTAGAGTATGTCACATCTCAGTATAATAGTAGGTAAATGGGCCAACAGCCTTGTTACAGTTATTAAGAGATGATGAAATATTCCTCAGAACTGGTTAATTCTGCAGTCGGAGGAGGCATCAGCAGGATTTATCTGTTTTGTCCTTGTAAACATTCAGGGAAAGGTCTTGCATCAGAAGGGATTGCTTCCCCCGAGCAAAACAAACGCAGATACTGTACAAACAAGAGCAAATCAATGTGTGCTCAAGCTCATATATAGTAACATACATGCAATACAAACAAAACATGTGTGTGTGCATAAGAAGCCAAACCACAGGGACCAGATCATTTGCAGGAGCACAGTGACATTCTCCCTGTCTCTGTAAGGTGTACAAGGAAATCAATAGTTATTGGAGATTTTATTATTGGGTATTTTCAGCTTGTAGGAGAACACTGAGACAATAGCCATCACCCTGCATGAGGCGCAGCAGAGTCTCCAGGCAGAAAATGTAAATATCAAGTGTAGGCCTGTGGGAGTGGGGTTTCGCCACGTACATCATGTACTGCTGAGCACCTATGTGCAGCACGCAGGCCTGTGGGTGCAGAGATTTTTTCTCCCTTCTGATATTTGTGCAAGGTAAGAGTGGAAACACATTCTGTAAATGTCACACGATGGAAGCCAAGATAAAAATCGAATGTCGCTCGCTGATATAATTTCTTTAACCTTCAGCCACTCAATCAGGGAAGGTAGACTGAGAACCACGGATATTTCTCAGCTACATGCTTCAAAATGAATGAATACATGTCTCCTGTTGTTGTTGTTGTGATCGGCCTTGGTAGTCAATTTGCTCCCCCTCCCAAAAACAAATTACCAGTGTTATTGAGCCATGCATATTTGTTTAATACACAGAGGTGGAAACTGATACCTCTCCCTTATCTATCAATCCAATATTGACTTATTGCCAGGAAATGGTTTGCCTTCTAACATTTAGCTGTTAAGTTTAATCCATACAATTACTGAAATATGATATTACTGTATATTCACACATCAATTACTATGCACATTAACCAACTAGCTTTAGAGGAGCTATTGGGTAGATTCATTTCTATTCTAATCCTTGTGCTTGCCTAACCAACTTATGGCTCAGGCTTCATATAACATAAATCAATGATACCGCTTTTACACACAAATTAGCAGGTCTAAGCAGGTTTTTTTATCACAGGAAAAAATATGCAAAAACTGAATGACGTCTTTCCTGTTGCCAAAAGAGGAGTCTGTCTTTCTGTTTTTTGTTTTTTTTGTACCCCTGCAGTGAGTCTTGTTCGACATGACAAACTCCCGGGAAAACAACGCATCTAAAACCTTGCTTTCTTGGTAGTGTTGCCACTTGCACAATATATAGGAAAAAAAAAACATTATTCCCAAGCTGTAAAAACAAATAAGCACACAAACCTTAACATCTATCAAGGCACCAACAAAGATATAATGTTGCACTGGAAACATTTGTGTCAAGTATAGTTTAACCGTTATGACTGAGTACAAGTTATTATTTATCCAGGTATTGATATTAAGAACTGTTCAGCTTTGAATCCAAACCACAGCAGCAGCATCAGTCTCTCCATCCTCACAGTATAGTACACTTCAGAGAGATACATTATGTATACGTGCACCACCACACTGCAGACATACATAATGCATATGTAGCTTAATGTTTAAAGAGACAAGAAGCTCTGTGTCTGTCCATGACCTAACCTGCCTGTGCTGGTTCAGAACTTACAGTGATCACACTGACATTATCTTCTCATCTCATCCTGCAGGTCCCTCTGGAAAGCTCAGAAAGTCGACCTCAGTGTCTCTAATTTCAGACACTTAATGAGATTTTTAATTGGTGACCTTTTGAGGACTGTTTCATACAGCGGCTCATGAGAGCACTTGAGGGGAGTCAAACCACACCACGCAACACTCACACCAGGATCCTTCATACGACCTCTCAGGCTAATATTTACCTTTACCCACACATACTGTAGATATATGGACAAATAAACAAACAGAGCTAGGTAGGTGGGTGGGTGGGTGGATGGATGGATGGATGATGAGTGGGTACATAGATAGATTTAAAATTTTAAACATTGGCGGGAGCTACCTGTAGGTTTTTCAAGTCCCAAAGGTTCATGCCATGTTTATACCACTACAGTAAGTGTCTGGAGAGACTGAGAATGAAACACAACACTCTGCAACATCACCACATCATAAACTCCCTCCGCTGCTCCTCGTGCAACTTTTATCATTGCTCTGTATAACAAGTGAACAAAATCTCAACCAACAAAAGCCCAACTATCCACAGTCGCCAAAGTGCTTGCTCATTGTGGAAACTGTTGGGTTTCTCTATATTAATACGATTTTAAGGTCTTGACCTTCTATGTAAAGTGCCTTGAGATAATGTATATTATGATTTGGCGCTATACAAATAAAACTGAATTGAATTGAATTGAACACAAAAGCAACATGTTATTCAAAGGAGAGTGTAAGTTTGTGTAAATCCACAGCCTTGGTTTCTTACCGTGGGGAGATATCACATCCCTGCTGCATGAAGGCGCCCAGTGAAAACCAAAGGGAGTTGAAGATGCCAAACTCATTAGTCTGCTCAAGACTCTGCTGGTTTGTGTTCTGCTGCGTCTGTGTCTGGCCCTGCTGCACCCCATTGGAGGCCGAAGCTTGGGTGGGAGACTGTGGCTCTCCTTCCTCATAGTCCTCGGCGTGCCACTCGTAGGGGCTGAACCGACTGACGAGGAAGAGGACGACGCTGACGCCAATGTAGGCAAACACTATGCACATCCAGATCTCATAAGCCAGCGGGTCAAGGAATGAAAACACACCAGGTTTGGATTTGGTGGGTTTCTTAATCATGATGGAGATTCCAAGGGACATGAATGGCTTGGAGAAGTCGATGACTTCTTCACGGACCAGGGTGATGGTCAAAGGAGCCACAGCCACATCCGCTTTCTGATGGAAAAAAACAGAAACATATAAAGACATAAACACAAGTACAGTGTGTCATTAATGTCAGTTTTTTATGTTCTACAGTGTTTGTTAATTTTTCAGCTCTGCAAGCTATTTGCAATTCTCAGGGAATGTCAGCATTGGTTGGCCTAAGCTAGTCTTTGATTTGACGTAAACAATATACCTGCTTAGTGGTATTATATCAGCATTGTTAGCATGCTGGCATTTGCGTTCAGCTCAAATCAACAATGTGCCTGACTACTGCCGCATAGAGCTGCTAGAATTGTGGCTGTAGACCCTTAGTCCTGTTATATGACCTTTAAATAACCTTTAAGTGATTCTCATGGTGCAAGTTTATACTGGACTGAATAAACATGAATGACATGACGGCTCTCTAAAAGTGAAGCCAAATCATCTAGCTCGAGCCCTGCAGTATAGTTTATGAACCCTGTCTCATTCATGTTAGTGGATTGGTTATGAACCAAACTAAGATAGAGTCTAAGTACACTTTAATTCCATTTTTCTCTAAGATTGTTTTATTAATTTTAAGTAGTAAAAATGGGGTCGAACATAATGACTGACAGCCGAGACTGACTCCTGATTGGTCGAGCATGTGTATTTGCCGGTCTTCAGCACCACAGTTCCCCTTCCTGATCACTCCTGTGCTGAAACTGTCTCCAAACAACGTCAAAAGCTCAAGATGGCGGCAGCTGTACTTGTACCCGAATGCAGACATTCACTCTCAGTGTCACTGCCTTTTTGATTGTATCATTGTGTTGTTACTGCAAAATAATCAAGGCAGACTACTAAAATACAATTGTTAACTAAACATAAAAGATTGTTTGTTTGAGTATCACTGTTAAGCCTTTAGACTTTTTGTAGGTTGTCTTCCAGCTTTAAGTGGAGAATGATCACAAGTCTCTGTCTACTCACCCCATACACCAGTTCTCCCACCATGCCGTTCCACATCTTGGTATCTGGGTCTCTTGCTCCGTACTTGCCATCCGAGACAACCTTGAGTTTGTACTGGTAGCCCACATGTTTGGCTATCTCTGCAGCCAGCTCCACGATGTAGCCCTCATACTTATCATTTCCCACAAGCTGCTCGTGGTTCTTCTTCAGCATGACATACGGTGACTCCTGTCAGATGAGGTGAGGCAACATGAGTAAACAACAGCTCTTTCTGTCCACACTCATCGATTCTACATCAGACTTAAAAAAATCACACACAGGAAATAAATCAAGAATTTCAGTGATCTACACTGATGTGAATTTCTTGACAAGCTGATGTGACTGTAAGACACATAACATTTACAGCAACAATTTGTAAAGCTAATCAAGTCAAAGACAGCATTACGGCTGATGATAAAATGTTTGGTATGTAGTTAAGTTTAATAATACTATGTGAATATTTTGGAAGACATGGATACATTTAGTGCCTCAGTGCAAACCCACCGACCCTGAGCAAAGCTACGGGCTTTTAAAAAACTCTTACTGGGCCCAAAATATAATTGTTAGTGTGAAAGGTTCGCAAGAAAAGATAATTCTATGAAATTACGAGGTATTATTTTGGCTTTATTCCTTGAAGGTATGGTGTGTAATTTAAATACAAAAGGTGCCTAAGTATGATCATTACAGCAGCGTTGCCACATTAGAGCGGGCTGCGAGGAAACAGAGGAAGAGGAGGAGGGTTATTAAAGCTGAGAAGAGGCTCAGAGAGGAAGGAGCATGTGTGTGTGTGTGTGCATGCGTGTGAATGTTTAAGCCATGTAGAAGGGGAAGCAGACGCTGCTGACCTTCGCACCGGAGCCAGGCTGTTCTTGTTGTATCACACTGATATTTGTACATGTCACACTGATTGGGTGTCGTGACAAATTACAGCAGACATGACATCTGGGGCCGCACTTTCAGAAAAATGCATTTCATACAGAATTCAACTGCATTGTCCACATATGCTATAGCAGAGCCTCAATTCCCATAAGTTGTTATGTGGCTGATTCTAGCTAAGGCTGTGCTGAGCTGAGCAAATCCTGCCACCGTATTTCATCAGGGTCTGGAGACGAGGTGGGGGTGCTGGGGGTTTCCTCTGTGTGTTATGGTTATCTGGGTTCTCCTGCTCTTTATGGCTGAGGTGAAGGTAATCAGTGTTACACATGGAAACCCGAGGCCCGCTGGTGGAGACACGGCACCCCAGGGGAGTGGAGAGCGAGAGAGAGAGAGGGAGTGGGGCTGGTGTGCAGCGCTTCCACGGGCTATGCACTTGCACTCACAGTCACTAGACAACAACAGACACACACGTGAGCACACAGACACACTAACACACACGCACATTGAGATATGGCACGACATACAGAGGGTCCTCCAGGACTCAGTCTCATTGACCTCAAACTGTTCCACTGAGATCCATCTTTACTCAACCATGATGAATATGCCACAGACACACACAAGAACACATTTCAAATACACATTATGTTTACAAATGTAAACAAACACATTGAAAGTAAACAGAGTAAAAGAAAATGCATGGAAACTAGACCAGCACTCACATAGCAAACACCTCTAAGGCCCAACAGTCCCCTTATGTTTTATTTAGATCTGCACACACTCAAGTAACAGTCCCCTGAAAAGTTTTTTTAAGACATGGAAAAAGATTTCCAGGTAGAAGTTTTAGCAGACAAAAACAAAACCACCTTGACTTAGGTATTTAGTATGTTTAGTTAGACATCTACACCGTATTACATAATTTGAACATTTTCTCACTGAGAGCCTGCTCAACAGTGAATGTCATTAATAGCCGACTCCCACCAAGCACAACTAAACCCTAAAATTCCAGTCATAGCCTGGTTTTACTGTAAAGCCAAGATTGTGAAGACACATAACTCAAGCTCTCAATTAAATATGTTCTACTTCACTCCTCCAGGCTTGGACTGTGTGCACAGTGGGACAACAGGGTAAGTGTGTGTGTGTGTGTGTGTGTGTGTGTGTGTGTGTGTGTGTGTGTGTGTGTGTGTGNTGTGTGTGTGTGTGTGTGTGTGTGTGTGTGTGTGTGTGTGTGTGTGTGTGTAGGGGGATGAAGTGATACCGACACACTGGCAAAACAACATGCTCCCTCGAGCGACGAATCAGTGGGGACAAAAGTTATAAGGTGCAAGAAAACTCCACTCCACTGCTTGCCTGCAGCCCAATGACTGTTCACACCTTATCTCTACTCTTAGGTTCCAAGACAGAAAACCAATTTATCTTCCTAGAAAAGGGGACACTGATAGGAGATTATGTCAGAGAGACTTATTTTAGATCCGTTCTCTTGAGACACTGCAACCGTTGGGTTTAAATTAGGATTTTCATGTTTTTTAATTAGATGCCAATAGACGACGATGTAAAGTTTTCCAAACTATGCCTAGGCTTCCAACATTTTATTTGTCAAATGCTAATTTAGAGTCTCTTTAGGTTGCTTAGATCAAATCTTACTACTACCACTTTTAACGAGTTTCTCTGCCTAGTTTGCACACAACCGCAGTCGCAACATGTTCATTAATTACAGCAGACTTAATTTATATATAAAATCATAGTTTTAATTCTTTTTAATTAATTGAGCTACTCAGTTTTCCACTTGGTGTATTTTCAAATTGCACAGGATTCATGCAGAATGTCAAATTGGGAATAGTGCAAAGATGTCTGTGTAATTAAGCAGTTGCTCAGCACGTACACACCAGTTAATCTAAAAGTAGCCCAATACCACATCCGCACTAACGCTTTGCAAAACAAACCGTTTCCTCTGCGTTTCGGCCTCTCTTCCACAGGCAAATGGTGCTTTAAGTCACTCAAGCTGAGATTTTTACAAATGTCTTCTGAAGTACAGTCAATAACTCCAGTTTCTGTGTATCCATGTTAAATAAAGTGTTTGGGGAACAATGATGCTACAGTTTATTTCACCCAGAATCCACAACAACAGCAGCAATATACTGTTTTTTCTATGTTTTTTAGCACTGATAGGTCTAATTACAAGTTTGGAGCTAAATTGAGCATCACTGCACCACATTACCTACACTCACAGGCGACTGTCTCACACTATATTCTCACACCACAGTGTTCTTCTCTGGTATTTGACGGATCATTGGTGTAGACTTTATCGCCACCGACTGGCCCGGCATGCTCATTTGAGCGTCTGCAGCAATTATTGTATTCCGTCTGGATGGAAATTTCTGGGGAAAACAAAGGCTGCATGGACGGAGGGGAGAATATCCACAATGCTGGAGACGAAATTATTTTGTCTCATTTCTATCCTGTTGTTATCAAGTTAAATCAGGTATAAACAAACGTATTTCTTTGTTAAATTGATTGTCATAATATTAATGCTGAGGTTCATTTAAATTCAACTTATGTACTAACAGAACAATTTTGGTACAAATTTGTTGAGACTTGACCAAAACTTTCCTCCATTTTGAAGATTGCAGCTGGAGATTCCTCATATCTTAATTAAAACTAAGAGGCTGACGTGAGCAGTTATTCCCATTAAGGTGCTTGTATATGTTCGATAGGAAAACATTACCCAATGATTCTCATTGGAAATGTGCTTCACATTGTAGTGTTCGCCTGTTTCTTGCTGATGCTGCAAGATCTCAGACTGAAAGCCTTACATCTATAAAATAAGATGGCGCAGGTTGGAGTGTGCTGTTATTCTGTGGTGTCTGTCAAGCTTTTATCTGGCGAGTGGTGAATTTCTCTTAAGGGAAACCCCTTTACCCAATTAACCTCTCTCAGTGGAGATCAGCTACACACGCTGCCCTGCCAGACCTGAAGTCACCAATAGAATATCTAAAATCAGCAAGTGCATGCTTTTTTCTTTGACACACATTTTATCCACACCTTAGCAATAGCTGCGCCTTTTCTTATTCCAATGAAATAATACAGTGGAAGTAAAACCCAGAGATAAAAGACATTGCCGTTTCAAAAAAAACAAAAAACAAACACCTGAAGAGCCAATGCTGGGCTCCAGGGGTCCACAGGCATGGATCAATCTCTGATATTAAATTTTCAACAAGATGCAGACACTGAGAACATCCTGTGCCTGCAGAGACATGCACAATACCATCTGTATTATCCTCGGATGTGTATCAGCCAGGTATTGCCTGCTGCTGTAGGTCCTCTCTTTTCAGAAAATGTCAGGATAAGCAAACCGTCATGACAGTTGGTCAGATTGAATTTTTTCCTCCCTGTTCCTCAAATCACAGCCCCTGCTAGCTTCTTCTCCGATATATAGGCCAGAACACTTCACATAACCTGGACACATCACATTCAACAGCCTGGTGGTGACATGGGAGCCAAATAAAGAACATGGCAGCAGAAAGAAATGAAGGACACATTGACACTTCACAGCCTCAGAAGTGAAGTGCTTATAATGTATTTTATAACAATGCTATTTAAAGCTGTATGACCACCGGAGCCTTCAACTCTTCCTGTGTTTTTTGACATGAAATTTCAAGGTTGTGCTGCCCTTGTCTTTTAAATGTGCCAGTAAGCAAGTGTACCCCGTACACATTTCTGCACTTCTGCCTTGTACCTGCCAAATAAAGCTGTTCTAATTCCGAGCAGGCTCCAGACAGGACGGAGAAAAGTTAGCGGAGTTAAGAGTGGAAGAAGGGGATGGAGATACAATCACTGGTGTCTGCTGAATTCTTTCAGGGGCCCTGAACTTAGGGATCTCTATCATAAAAGAAAATGAAAAATGTTACCCTGACTTTCTCTTTCTCATCTCACCCACCTCCAACAAATCCCTCTCTGTTTGACTCACCAAGATAGTGGTGACGATGTAGGTTCTGTTCTGCAGGCCGTACGTCTCGTTGCTGCCTCGCATGAAGCTCGCCGTGGTCACGTACTTCTCATCTTCATTCCAGTAGCCAACCTATAAGCCAAGGAGAACGAATCATAATCAAAGGTGTATTTATTAAACTGTCACTATTACTGTCTCTTATAGGAAATGCTTTTACAAAATATCATTAGTCATGATGATACTGTTATCATCAGTGTATGTATAATCAAATCAGAAAAGGGTAATTAAGCCACATTAAATATTCCACTTTTTTCATTATCAGCTGAGCAAACAACACAAATGAAGCTGACACTGATTTTTTGTCACTTTTCCCTGTTTGTACTTGTCAGTGTGGTACTAAATTCACTGCAGCAGGATTTCTCTCCTCCTGATTTCATTGTCTTATGTTTCCATCATCTAATCCATTGATGTGGATTATTCTCCTTCATTATGAATGAAGGATTTCATACAGATAATAAATAATAATACAGTAATAATGGAAAAACAGTTTGAGTTAATTGTAATATTTTTTCTAAGAATGAGCCGCTGAGCAAATGTCCTTGTATGCACATAAATAATCCTGAGATCACTTGAGAGCTGTTATAATAGCTTCTTCTTACACTTTAAAAAGCAGAAAGTCTCTTGTTGAAAGTGTCTCAGTTTTCACGCCATTATTATTCTAATTCTTTTACATCTTATGAATACAGGCCCAGGTATTTCTTGAATTTTGTAAAGTCCTATTTAACGAGCAAATAATAATAATGATGATGAGCATGCAGTCACAGTTTTAAATACAGCCCTTCAGCAGGAATATATAATATAATTCAACACCTCAGGCTGCAGACTTACCTTCTTGGGTCCAGATGGGGCCAGTTCCATGACGCTCACAGTGTAGTTTGTTCTGCGGCCTTTCTCGTTAAACTGAATGTGACCAGTCAACCCATCTATACGCACCTGGAATGGAGTCACAGATATTGAATTACTAACACATGGGCTTGGACTCACATCGGCAGATGGGTAAATAATGGCTGCCGCCAAGCATATTCATACACGCCATTTTCTGCACCTCTGCACTAGGAGCTAGCATTTGCATGTCACGTTCACATGCGATGCATGTTAAGCATAGTTTTTTGTGCGTTTGTGTATTGATTTGTAAAAATTCCACATTACCCAGGTCCCTGCAGAGGTGAATGACAGGCGGCATGCGTGTATGTGTACAGTGCCGTGTGTTTGTCTTGGCCGTGTGATGGGGTTAATTGAGCGAACACAGCTTCAATCTCCAGTCTATCCGCAGGCAGATGGTTAGATTGACTATGAGCAGGCCTCTGCACAGCCACTCTGCAGACAGGGCCTCAGGCTGCACACTCACACATGCAATTACACGTATGCCCTTGCAAACATATTGCATTTATTATACACTGTTCATAGTCAAAGTACATTTTTTCACTGAAAATTCTCAGGTTCCAGAATAAAAATACAGAAATCTCAACATATTTGAGATTTGGCTTTTTAATTAGGACTAAAACATTTTTAATTGTCCCTACTCCTTAGTTTTCTGCACGTGTGTGTGTGTGTGTGTGTGTGTGTGTGTGTGTGCATGAGATCAAGGAGTCTCTTAGCCAATCCTGCATTTCCATTCCCAAATATAACATCTCTAAACTCAATTGCTGATGTCATATTCCATGATGATCACAGCAGAGTGTTAGTGCCCACAGAATTTGTTTACTAGCCATGATGTCACATTTGATACTGGAAAGCTCTCCAACGACTTAATGTGAACTTTATACGACAGAATGAGACCTAATTTGTTCAGCCAGCCCCGACTCAGGAGCTGTTAGCTGATGTGTCACTCAATAATTTGTGCAAATGTGAGCCCCCGCCCATGTATGTGCATGTGTGGTATGTGTGTATGTATGTGAATTTACTAGTGTGTTTCTATGTATGGCTGCAGACCTGCTGCAAGGCTCTCTGGATGTCTATGCCCTGTCCCCAGGGGGCTGGTGGGTTGGCGAGACACTCGCCAGCGTTGCCTCTGCGAGAAATGTCTATCCTCTGTCTCCTTAAATTCTGGAAGGCGGTGGACATGACTTTCACCCCGTCGTACGTTAGAGCGCCAGTGTACTGCAAAGAGAGAGCAGACAGTTCAAACAACAGCGACACTATTACAAACCGATAAAGGTCTAAACTGAACAGGGGTGATTTGAGTTGGTTTTTGACTTTCTAAACACAAATGTTTGGATTTGGAATTAATCCTCTATCACAGTTGGTTTGGCCAGTTGTTAGGAATAAAAATCAATAATCGTTTAACAGCACAAATCCCCCATCTGAACCAACAAACTCAGAAAGGATCAAAGGTTATCCACCAACTTATATTTAATGAAAACCGTTTCATAACCTTTACCAATAAACAGCTGACAGTCAAACAAACCTCCTGAAAAGAGAAATTTAAAAAAACGCTCTCGGCCAAGGTAACCGTAACCTCGAGCAGAAAATCAGTGATCAAAACTCCACAGTTGAGTGACAGGAGAATGAAGGTCAAATACCTTGAGTCCACTCTTGGGCACTTTGGAGTCTTTATTGTCAAACTCCAACCACTGCTGGACGACACGGCTGACACTGGGCTCAGAGTTATTGACGAGCTGGAAGCCGGTAATGTTCGCCCCACCTTTCCTCAGGTCTGTCAGGTCGATGTCTAGGAAACCCTGAAGACAGCGAGGAGGACAGGCAAGGAACATTTTAATTCATGTGCATGATTATAATGAACAAAGCAAGCTCTTGCAACATAATGCCTCACCATACATACAACAACAAAAAACAAGAGAGCGTCCATTCAAGCAGAAACACGACTGCTAATTGTGTTTTATCTGGAGTGACCATCGTGCTAATTGGCTTGTGACCCCTGAAAATAAATCAATGTTCATTTGCAACCACTCCTTACTGGTTGTGAAGTGCACTTCAAATCTGATCAGTTCCAAAGTCCAAAGAGAGATTATTTCCTTGTACATTATTTTGTTTGGGATTTTTAGAAGATGTCAAAGTATCCAGTATTTCGCAAAAAAAGAACCCTGCAAATCATCGATAGATACGAGCTCATACATGGTGATGATTCAATTTTCAGTACAACTACTGACCCACATCCTTTAATTTCTTTATTTGGAGTAAGACCTGAAAACTTTGGCAATCAACATTTAATATACATTTAAATCTGAAGAGCTAAAAATCTCCATCCCATGTCATGTGGATCAGGGACATTATGTGTCATCTAAAATTGAGAGGATAAAAATACCTTTAAAGAGGAGCAAAGGTAAGTTCACAAAGGTCTGGAGACCTTTTCTCTATCTACTAGTCTAACCACTGTTTAGCTTTTGATTATAGTCTGAACATTTTAGCTGTAGAATGAGTGTTCTTTGTTTAGTTATCAATCAATGTATTCATTTTTGTATTTATTTATTTTACTGTGAAGGGAGGGGAGTAGGGGGATTTGCGATGTAAAAATATTCAATGTGCGATTTATACACATGTTTAAACAAAACATTTCAATAAACAGATTAAAAAATACGCTGCAAATCTGATTTTCTTTCTAATTTAATTATTTGTCTTGATTTCAGGAGTCCCAGCCATCAAGTTCAATGAACCACTGCACTTAATGATTGACAGGATGGGAAAACAGAAAAAAACCCAACATATTTCTCACTTTTTGTGTGTGTTTCTACTGGAATAAGTCAATCGTACCTCTAAAACCTCTAAAGCTGCTGATCAGGGGTCACAAGTAATCATTGCTTTGTTTCTGGGCTCACAAGCTGAAAACGTTGGAAACATGGGTAATTCAAAAGAATACTTTGTGGTAAACGTTTTAAACTGTTCCAATAGAGTGCGATGGTTGACTGCATAATGAAAATGAAAAATCCTTCTTTTTCACCCAGAGAGTTTACCTATTGAACAGATTCCATCCATGTGCTTCCTAAGGGATGAGGGTAGTGAGAAAAGAAAATAGAAAAGCTAATTTTATGTCCGGAGAAGTCTGCTCCTAATCTATGATAGACTCCGAGTCCTCATTGGCCACTGTTATGTATGGCGGGATCGAACCCTTATGTGGCGCTGTGAACAATATAAGGGGCACTTCAGGCAAAGTGGAATGGGAAAAGGAATGATTCGCTGTAATGGTATCTCCTACTTGGGTTTTTTCCTCTGACTATTATGTGGTGGAGACTGTTTTTTAGAGAGGCAGCAAAGTGGGAAAGGTGGGTTTGGTCTCTCAGCCGGCTGCCTGTTAGCATGGGGGAGAAGAAGTAGGGATGGGTGGGAGCAAAGGGAAAAAAGATTTGTCAAGATTTAAGAGCAAAGTTTTGACAGACGAGAAGAGAAGGTGACTCACAGGATCGGCTCCTGCTCAACTGGCATCTGTCTGACAGCACAAACCTCCTCTCTTTCCCTCTGAGCTCTGCTCTGATGTTATTTGTTTCATGTCAGTCAAAGCTGCGGCTCTCTCTTGACCGTGCGTCATGTTGCAGAAGTCTCATTTGTTTACTTTCTCTGATCTTCATATATCCACACATGCAGAGAAAGGAAGTCAAATAGTAGTGCTTGACTGTTAACGGGGGCAACGATCTAATCGTTCCATGCTCCTCACGAGTGTACATTTCAAAAAATGTCTTACCAATCACCGGAAAGAAAGCTGCAAAAGCCACTTGAGACCCACAAATGTAGCATTTTCTCCATAAAAATTTAATATTTTTTCAATGTATTGCATTTTGATTAAAAACAACATTTTTAAAAATCGCATGCTAACGTTACATGGTTATTGCAGATTTATGACATAATTCCATGTTGCCTCCCCCCTTTTTGAAGATACATGGTGCACTTGATTTAACCCACATATAGCAGCAAGGTTAATGAACGTAACTGCTCCTCTAATAACAATGCATCCTGGCAGGGTTGCCTACAAACCACTGCTAGAAGCCTGAAGCTGTGTGCGTTTGATTTATGACTGAAATAATGCATAGCATCCAAGCTTTTCCATTTTAATTGGATGAACGGTAAATGTCATTGTGCTGTACCATTAATGTCACAGTACCGAGGGGAAGCAGGAAAACACGTCAAACAGGTTATTTGATTCATCTGAATTAGCATCGATGTTATTTGGATATTATAGATTTGTCACTTTAGTAACAGTAAGCAATAGCATAGGTTAATTTAGGATCTCAATGTTCCTACAATGACATCCCCAGCAAAACATTTTATTGCGTCTCTGTGTTGGGTTCCCGTGACGACTACTGATGATGTAACAGTTTCTATCGATGACTTCTGATGACGTAACGGCTTCTTGAAGGGCTGTTCCAATTCGTAGGGGAAGATTTCAACCACTTCCCCTTGTAACTCTGTTTCAAGGAGCAAGATAACCCTAGAAAACAACGGGTAGGGAGAAGGGTTGAAATGGGAATGAGACTTCCCTCTTCCTCCCACAGCTGTCTCCCTAATGTACCTGTCTGTTGCAAGGTGTCCATATTTCTCAGCTGAACACACAGAGTCGTCTTTTTCTGCTCCATGTATGAGCTAATGTAGTGCAGTCAGCTGGAGAGGTTACTATAGAAACTAGCCTTTCCCACACTGGACATGGAGCACAGTATTTCAGACAGTTATTTTAGCAACATTTAAAGATTTATATATATAGATATATATCTATGTCTATATATATTTAATGTTTATATGAGGTTCTAACTTTAATACATCAGCCAATGCGTATGTTCTATGTAAAGAAATAATGCAGTAATAGCATCCTTTTCTGATCTAGTAGTCGGTTTTCTGACGTATGTTCTTATGCTAGGACATGTGAGTCCCTAACTGGCTAGCAGTGTGTCTTTACTTTGCCACACGACTTTTGCCCAGGAAGCGGAGATGATCAAAGCTACAAGTAAAGCAGATATTCAGGTTTGTTTTAGAATCGCTTTCTCTGGGCTTCACTGAACTTGGAGACTGTAGAGGCAACAGCTAATCTACAACACTGAGAGGGGGTAGATGTGTGTGGCACCAAGGGGTTGTTTTGGTCCGATGGGTGCTGTTGCAGCATTAAAAAAATCAAGAAGACGGCCAAGCCAACATTACCAAACCTGACTCAAACCATTTCAAAATATCAGCCCAATGGGTCCCAACGGGTCCAGCCGGCTCATGACAGGTTCAGGTTGTGTATCCACACTTGACTAGTGGCAATGAGTTTTGTATATAACATTCAGGTGTGTACTTAAATTACGTCCTCTTTTCTCTATCACACTATGCTCTGTTTTTTCATATACACAAGCTGCAGATGGACGCACAAGTAAGTAAATTAGAAAAAGTATGAAAAGGTGCAGGGACAAAAAAAGGACCTTATTTTGCACAAACCTTTTAATGGGCCCATTATAAATGAGGGTAGCCACTTTGCCTATCAGCTGTTATTACCCTGCAAGTCTTATCATTTAAAATTAAATCTGGCAAACTGGCCAGACAAGAGAGATTGAACTAATCTAAAACCCCAGCAGTGAGAAATTGTTCACGCCAGCAGCTGCATATTAATGCTGTTATTACTACAGCTTCTATTGATGTCAATTTTCTCTTCATTTGGTCGCATTTAGTTGGACTGAACAGTGCTGCAGGGGGCTACGTAACACGTGCACTGAGAAAATGGCAGACAAAGGAAGCTAATGTATATAAGCTTGCACAGATTGGCTCCCTGACCTTTTTCTATCACGTTGAGTCTGCGTCTGTGTCTAGCTGTCAAGGTGTTCCCTCTTGCACTTCACTGTAAGTCTACTAGTGTGCTACACTGTTATGTCTGCAAGTTTGACAGCACAGTGGAAAGAACATATAGTGTAACTGAAGAGGAAAATGAAATAAAGGAGCATAAATGACATGAAACCATACACTTTGAGCAGGAAACATTAGGTACATGCAATTTGTTTGAACGGGAAAGAATAGAAAATCTGGAATCCTGTTAAAAGCCACATTTCACAGAAATTCAGTCGAGGTGTGAAGGTATGTAGAGAATCTCCAAACACATCTACATAAAAGATAAAAATGCAATGATATTATATTTCCTTACCAGGTTAGCCAGGATGTAGTGATAGCTCTTAGCATTCTTGCCCTGTTCGACAATCTGGAAGACAAAGGTGGAGGAGAAATACAGAATAAGTGTAAGTAAGAGAGCGAGGGGAGGTGTTTAACAGCGTCTCAGCAGCGTGCCTGCTACAGTGTACAGAATTTGACCTTGTGCAAAACAGACAGGAAGAAATGAGAGTGAGCAAGGAACAATCTACAGTATAAAAGGGTGACGAACTTCACAAATGTCAGTTTTAATCTGGTGGTGGCATATTAACAGATTACCAGCTCCGTACAGACAAAGTAGCTTAAATAGAATGACAACTCTGGAGTCAGTGAGAAACCTTTCCTATCCTCCGTCACCTCTGCTGTTTCCACCTGTCTCTCGTTTTCCTCTCCTCTCCCATTCCTCCTCTCATCTCCTCTGCTGTTCCTCCTCTCTCCTCTCTTCAGTGATGAAAGGTATTACTGTGAGGAGTCATTTCTTACAACTGTGTTGCCTTTGGGCAGACCACACATCACTTATTCATATATTAAAATAGCCACTAAATTAATGAAATCCATTAAATATTTGAACTTCAATGCATCAACATATAAAGTTTAGTCACACCCTATAAAATCCAGATGTCTGAAAATAGCAGTAGCATTAATTGAATTAAGAAAATTACTTGAAAATGAATGAGTAAATTAATATTTTAATGCAAGTGAACCTGTCAGAAAATGTGCAATTAGTGATCTTATTTGTAAACAGAAAACTGTACACTGTATTTTGCTTCCCTCCCCCTCCTATTCTGTTTTCAGTGTGGTTCCCCTGAGAGCTCTGGTTTGATCTTTGATCTAATATTTTAAAAAAGCACAACACCCTGGAACTCCTTGTGGTCTAACAATATCATCAAATAATCCAGTGTGTCAGGGCTGAACCGTACACAAGCCCCCGCCTCCCAACTACTGAACACTCCATCTCTCTCGTGCAACTGCTGTCACTTTCCAACTGCAGGCGACGCAGGTCAGCTGAGCACCTACCGGTCAGGGCAGTTAAAACAACACACTGGGGTGTGAAGTGTAGTGCCAGAGCTGGTTTATCCACCAGACTGACATTTAGATGTAGATACAAAATTGGGGGGGGGGGGGGGCTCAGCGCTCTAGTGCTGCAGTGTGTATATGTGTCATCACAGCATACTTGGCAGTCACATGAAATAAGGCCAAGTGGGCAGCACTGATCTAAAGCCGTGCACCATCCAATTAGCACGGAGGATAAGGAATTTCACTGACTCCTCTCTGTTAGTGTTTCCTCCGATGTATACTTTGTCGAGTGAATTCTTTTGTTTGTGCGTGTGTCAAATGATGCTGCAGGTCATGACAGACGGTGGCATTTGTTATTAATGGTGACCCCAGCACAAGGCGGGCCCCGTGGCTGAGCCCCGGGCAAGGAACATTTTGAGGGAAAGAGACACACTGACACCAACACACCCGACACTGTGGGGAAACGCACACATTACTGCCACAGTGGACTGTCAAATGGAAATGTTTTGGAAGCAAGTAGCATTTTAATTATTCATAAAGATTTGAAGAGTCATTCAGAGTTCAGCCCCGAGAGAAACGGGTCATTTTCTTTCTGACTCTCTGTAGAAAAACACACTCCGAGGTAGCTCTTCTGTCACAATCGATGTTCTCTGAGAAGGCGACATCACCATTCAGGCTACATGAGAGGTCACCCTCAGGATACTGTCAGCGACTCTATCATGTGAGAATCTGTGTACTGTATGAGATGAACACAGGAGTGAGTTTAAAGGGCAAAAGAGGCAGAAGCGAGAGGGACGCAGATGTGGGTGATTGATGGTGGCCGTCTGAATGGAGAGCGTCTCAGGCTCCGCTCTTGTAAACCGGTGAGAACTCATGCAATAACCTTAACTGTAGACACCGGGCCATCAATAACAGTCACGGAGAGCAGACGTAGCCTACACATACAGATGGGGACTGTGTGTGTGTGTATGTGTGTGTGTGTGTGTGTGTGTGTGTGTGGCCTAAATCTGTTTACACAGTTACATTTTGAGGCACAGGGAAGAAGGTACAGATATGGTTAGGTGTAAGTCAGTGTGTGTGTCATGCGCATCATTAAAGTGCACCTGGGCTTTTTCATTTACCACAAGACAATTAGAACCCGCTGAAAATCATAAATCTTACAAAGCAGCATGAGCAGCCAAAACAATTCGGAAATCTATAAAATATATGTAGCCAAAGATATCATGCCACAGGTTGAACAGATACCAGTGAGCCAGCATGCTACATAACAAACCTCGAACTAGCTAACCTACATGCAAAGCGTTCGTGTTAAAAGCCTGAGGAGAAACCCAACACATATAGAGTATGGAGCTATAGTCCTGGTTCTACAGGTGTAAAAAGAGGGAATGTCAAGGTTCATATATTTTGTCTTTCCCTACGAAAAGAAATGTGTCCGCTGACAGATGTATTCTTTGCATCGGCATGGTTGTTAAGCAATATATCCAGTAGAGGGCAGCACAGAGGCGGGTGTTTTTGAAAGCTACAAACGTCGCTGTTGGAGGTTGAGATAATGTACTAGATACAGGAAAAGGCAGCTGTTTATCAAAGATGTAGTTTCTTACCAAATTGCAAATCTGAGAAAATTGGACTTGTACAAATAAGAGTAGCTTGTCCCTGTCCCATGTGCCTGTAAGCTTTCAGAAGACATGCAAATGTACGAAATCAGTGAAATAAATAATAAATACAGAGAGAATTAGACACATCCTTGCTTAGCTTGTTTACAAACAGAATTATATCTGAGGAAGAAACAGTAAACTATTTTAGTTACTCAAAGAAATGCTCCTTTGCTTTTAAAGTGATGCAAAAGAGGTTACAAATAAAATCAAAGCCAGACCTGCCATGCCTAGTTACGGTTGCTAAGCTATGATTGGATCTCTATTCATGGGAGGACACCAAGATCCTTTTTCCTTTCAATAGAACAGTGGTGAGTGAGTGATGATGCTATCAAAGAAGAACTGCCGACTCCAAATGCCAATGCTGTGTTATTTATCGCTCCCGTCTTTAATTCTCCAGGAGACCAAACACAAGAGCAGACCGCAAACCAGCCCCCACTTCCCATTTACACCCCGTCTTACTTTTCCAACTGCATCTCTCCTTTGTTCATCAGATTTAAACATGCACAGCCTCGCTCTTAAGTGTGTGCTTTTTATTTGTCTTCAATATATTATTTCTGAGGAAGTCTTTTAATCTTAATGTGCAGGCTGAAAACGACTGAAATTTCATTATAGAGTAAATTCCATCATGATTGCATTTTCCACTATCATTGCATGAACAGCGCAGAGAAATGCTCTTTACCTTCCTGAGGATGCCAGTGAGCCTCTCGGTCTCACAGTCGATGATAATCTGGCCCTCCTTCCTCTTGTCCAGATCCTGAAACACTTTCAAGAACGAGGCCTCAGTCATGGTCTCCACGTTCACCGAGGTCACCAGCCAGTTGCTCTCCGCTGCTGTGTCCAGAACCTTCTGCAGCACCGACAGGCCTGGTGACAAGAATGAGAAGAGCTGAAACTCCAAAGCAAAAGTGAAAAAGGAACTAAAATTCAGCTGAAGAGGAACTTCAGGAGCTGCATGTCTGCGCATTTACTCCAAAGGTTCTGCAAAGATAAATAAAGTGATGAATGACAAATTGGTATTAAGTCACTGAAAGCAATTAGGGTTGGCTGGACCGAATCACAATGCAGATTTAAGTGCCTGCTCTCAGCACTGAAATAGCTGCCTTGCTTTTTGGCAACAAACAGCAATGCCTGGGCCAAATTAACATTACACTCAGCTCTGGTGGCAACACAACGTTAGCCTACAGTTAGCTCGTAGCTAACTTAAACTCAAGTCAACACAACAAAATGTCTAAAGCGAAATGGTCAAAATGTGGCTGAACTTCACTTGACAGGATTCCAACACTGAGACGTGCAGCAGAAAAACAACTGTAATTAAAGGGAGGAAGAAGACAACCTTAATGAAGCACCTGGCAACACACAGATACATCTGAGTAAAGGGATTCTCTGTGGGATGATGACCAGTTTGGAGCTGGAGTTTTTATTTTTTACTGTATTGAGCACTGAAACTGAAATTTAGGTGAAAGGGATCTATCGGCAGACATTTTATGTAAAATAACCCTCATGATGTTTTCACTAGTTTGTTTCATCTAAATTGTATGAATTGTAATTTTCTTTTCCCCAAAAAAGGCCTTTTTTAAAAATACTTAATATTTACATTGAGGGGGTCCTCCCTACGGAGGCCGCCATGCTTTTTAACATTAGTCCAGACTGAACAAACACCTTTGAGTTTTTATGACAACTGAAGCTACCACATGTACTTTTTCATGTTTGGAAGGAGAGGGTGAGGGGTGTTCAGCTGCAACATGCAATTTCACAAAATTCTACACACTGTACCTTTAAGTTACTGCAGTTGGGTTAGGTTTGATTTATTATGCATTCTGCACTTTTTTATATCTGTATATCTGTATATATATGTTAGAGTTGAATTTCATCTTCCAATTCTCCGCTCTTAACGAAGACCATTGTTTTATGCTTGAAAAAAATGTATGAAAGTCCATTAAACACACTGACATGTACAGGTGAGCTTTTCCAGCTCATACAGCGCCGGGCTAAATAATCACCACTTTCACTCTAACAAATATTCAGCCAGGGCATCATCACAGGCTACACACTCACAGCCAGCATTACGCCCTCAGAGCGCCATTACAGGTGCCGCCCAATTACACTGATACGCTGCTGAGACCGCCAAGCATCGCGGAGAACGATGCAGAGCAGCCAATGAGCTAGGAGTTCACGCTAAGACAGGAAATAAAAGGCGATTAGAACACATTGATCTTGAGCTCTGATTTACAATCTGACTCACTGTTGTACTACTTCGCTGTTGGCAGCAGACCAATCAGATTCCTCCCGAGCTGGCAGCCACTGTTGTTCCACAGAGTAAATAAAGTAATTTCACCCGCAGCAGACTGGCAGCCATTACCCAAATGAATTATAGCAATTACAAAATTTTGAAATGTAAACTAATACATGATGTAGCCGCATTTGTTTTTTATTTACACTAAGCTGGCAAACTGTGGGCCTATACGCGGTGTGTTTTGCATATCCTCCATGCTTGTTTGTTAACATTCATACAGGCTTTTTATGCATATTGAGCAAATGTAAAAATGGCTCATCCACAACAACAAACACAACATAGAGGCTGTCAGAAGAAGAATGAGAGATGCAGTCACCACCTCTGAAAGATGATTGCCTGGCTTTATTAGAATGCACTCCAGCTGCTCTTGAGGCAATTCATGCTGCCTGTTTGACACCGGGTCATTAAGAAATGAAGAGATGGATGGTGTTTCACCTCAACATATGACCACAATACAGAACATGTAAATAAATTGGACAACCAAAAAAATGCAAGGGTGTTGGATGGAAATTATGCACAGGGGTTTGTAAAGCATTACTGGAAAGGTGCACCGGGACATATGGCACCTGTCACTGTTTCTTCCCATTCACTGTTGCTCATGAGTGAATAGTTGTGCACCTTGTTGCTGACAGGTTTAATAGTAGCTATGAAACAGATGATGGACGTGGGAGGCAGTTAATCATGGCCGTGAATAAGGTCAGTGGGCGCTGAGGAGAATGGACAAATGTCTTTGAATGGAGCCGAGTCCTGGTTTATGTCTGCTGCACATTGGAGGATCATCAGGCTGATTTCGGGATCTGATAGAGCCCTCTTGACAATCGTGGGGGGGGTTGCTGATAAAACGCTAATCTGAACACCTATTCGGTCAAATTATCATGTGGTATGATGGGTTTGCAGACATCATGTCACCGACTGAATCAGAGCCTCCCTGATTTTGAATCGTAAATATCAAAGATGTTTAATGTTTACGATCTGGAATCGTATTTTGTATTTGAAAGGAACAGCGATTGGAATGTGGAAAGAGTGTGATTGAATGTGGTTTTCAAACAACCATAGCCAAAAAGAGCAGCTGAAAAAACAGAGCAAGTTGAGCCATACAATAAAGAAAAAGAGAAGAAGTGTGAAAACACATCAGAAAAAGAGAGAGATGGGTGCTTAATTAATGTGTCCTGCTGTCTGTGCAAAACGTTACACAAACAAGCGCAACCTGCTGACGACGCTGGCAGTCCGCCGTTTGTTTTTATTCTCAAGTCACGTGTGATCATGCACGTTTCTGCCACTTCAAAATCGTTTGTTTGGACGCCAAGTGAGTCGTCCTGCGTCTCGGCTGAATCATCTTGTGGGTGAATTGTCACAATTAAGATTAAATGTCAGTTGCATTTATTATGTCTGTGTTTTAAAGTTTAAATAATCCTCTCGAGTGCTGCAGGCATTTAGCAGGAGGTTTCAGAACCATGGACAGCTCCGTTTTGAAAAGGAGACTGTTACGAAAGCTGTTCACTTCTTTTTATCTTTCTATTCTTTTGTTGCTTCCATTTTAATAATCTTCAAACTTTCCTCTCGTCTCTACACTTTCATTTGTTTGTGAAACTGGTTCTGCACAATGTAAATTATGCCCCAGCACCTGAGCATACAGCTGTGCATGCAGCAGTCAAGATGAGCTAAAATTAGTGTTAGAATCTCATTAACGCTTCGTGTTGAAATGTTCTCAGCTGAAATGCATTACAGACGGAGCTGGAGTCCACTTTTCTTCAATATTACTACTGTGGCTGAACTGCAACAATTTATCTCTCTCCATATCTTCCATCTGTTTAGTTTTTTATTCCTTCTCCCTTTCCTGTTCGCTGTGTTTGCATTGAACATCCTCTCTTCTCTTTAAATGCAGCCATGTGCCCCGACGCTCCCCTATAAATCAGAGCCCGGCTGACAGAGAGGCTCGTAGGACAAGCCAAGGGAAAAAAATGGTCCTCCAAAGGCATCCTGGAAGAGAATTATATCATAATAGAATCTGGCTGTCATAAGCACCCTTTTGGCCGGAGGCACTACACAGAGACCTGGGAACTGGGCGATCGAGGGAGGAGAAAATAACACTTTCAGAAACCATTTCCTGAATATTGTTTATGATAGGTTTAATGGCCTATCAAATTTGCTTTCCTGTTCTTGGCTTTTGAAAATAAAAACAAGAGGCACTTTTATTAGCAGATGCTGTGCGGTAAGACAGCAAGACAGATGTTAGAAGAAGAAAAAAAAAGAGGAAGATGTTAAAGCTCTGGAGATGGCTGTAAAGTGGTAATGTCTGCTGTATATGTGCACGTCCTTATCCACTTCACATAATTGACAAAAACACAGGGAACATTA